TAAAGCATAATGTAGACTCGAAATCCAAGACTCAAGGAGAAGAGACGAAACAGAAAACAAGAAGGGCGAACTAATTTTACACCAAAATTTTGTGTGAATCCAATGTTTTTTTTTTTTTGAGTCCCATGAGACCTGGTGAGTAAAGGTCCAATGGATCCTTACTTCTCCATAACCCTAATTCTGTGAATTGGTACCTGGGCCATTCATCTCTTTTCGCTTTTTCTGCCTTTTTTGAATGTTATCTTTCTACCTTAGTATGAATGTAACTCTAAACGTCATGATGTGCCACCTCACCATCCTGACCACGAAAGCCTAGAGGCCATTCCATGGTCGTTCATCTTTTGTTCACAAGCCTCACATGTGAACGTGTTAGGAGAACTCATACGATTCGATAAAAAAGATTAATTTGAGGTTATTTTCACAATCAACATATTAATGAGTTTTTGGAATCACTGAAGATCACCTTGCAATTTGGGGCAGCATGCTTTTCCAATACAGAATGCCTGAGTCCTGTAAATGGACACATTTTTGGACATCACATCTTTCCTTTCCATTCCCTCTTTTCTGGGAAAACCTCCAAGCATCACCACAATATTTACATCAGTGCAAGCCTTAACAAGATCTGAAGTGGCAACAATACCTGTAAGATTCCAAGCAACTAACTCATGAGAAAGATGCATGAGATATGCATGGAAAAAGATTATGCAGGCCTAATGGGTTTGTATAAAATGAATTCATCTAGTCTACCTCAAATTTGCACACAAGTTGTCCCTTTGGTTGCAAGAACTCGAAATCATTTTTTTTTTCTTGAAATCATCCACTTTTCAAATGAAATTGTGAAAAAGTTTCAGCCCAAGGATATCCCTCCACTATGTATTTAGAGCTTGGCTCATATTCTAGCTATGAGCCCATGGGCTAATAAATATCGTATGCACTTCTTATATGCATCTTGAACTAATTTCACATATTAATAAAAAGGGTGAACCCCTTGCTACCCAGCGAAGAAAAAAGCATCAATTTGGGGTGGTGTAATATGTACGCAAGAGGGATCACTCTTTCACCTTAGCCCTATGCATGGAAACAGTGTTTTCAGTATCCACTATTCCATGCTCTGATACTTGGGCAACAACTAAACCAATTGTGTTCATTCCCTATATTAATCTTAATTTTAGGAAATTTTTGGACCATGTACTAATTCTGCAGATTATTTCCTATCCGTACGTAATTTTTCCTTGTAAGAAACCACCTGATGTTAAAATAAAACAGAGTACATGGGAAAAACTTGATGATTTTGCTAAGACATGAAGAAAAATGTGGACCTTTGAGGAGTGGAAATGCAGCATCAACCAATTCCATTCTTACAGCATCTAAGACCTCTGCAGTTTGAGGAATGTCAAGTAAATGAAGGATCACAGGTTGATCAGGGCCTAGCATTTCCCCTCTGGCTATCATTGGGACAAGGGCATAACCTATTTGTCCTGCAAATCCATTTAATTAAATACAGCTTCAGTGCTCATCACCATTTAGAATCACTCTCTCTCTCTCTCTCTCTCTCTCTCTCTCTCTCTCTCTACTACTACTCTACTACTCGTACTCTACGTACTACGTACTACTACGTACGTACGTACGTACGTACGTACGTACGTTACGTACGTTAACGT